CACTGCAGGGTGCCGTGCCGCGTGCTCGGGTCGGGCGTGCGCCCCCCCCGGCAGAGGCACGCAGCGCCCGTAGCGTTACATCTAAGTCGGGCAGGCCCCTCTACAGGAGGAGTGCTCAAACACAGCCAAGACATCGTCGGAGGCGATGTGTCCACTGCTTGTCCTCCTCTATCTCTGAATCTGTTCCGGCCACGTTTGCCATCGTCCTTCCCAAGTCCGCTTGTGGGAGGGCACGCCCGGCCTCCCATCGGTAGAGCCTCCTGCGCCCCACGGTGCTCCACGGGGGGGCGCGGGCGGATCCTCCGCCTCATCTCGGCGTACGTGCTGTCGCCGCAGCCGCTGCTCTGCGTGGGCGCCGCCGGCGGCGGCGTCCGCCTCCTCTGGCTGGACGCGGGGCGCGGGGCCGTGGTGCCCGCGGCCGCGGCCGCGGCGGCGCCCGCGGGCCCGGCGGGCGGCGGTGCCCTCGAGGAGGCGCCCCGCGCCGCGCCCCTCTGGCGCGCCGCCGCGCGCTCCCAGGGCTCCAGCGCTTTCGCGCCCCGCGGGGGCCCCACGACTCCTCCTCCTCCTCCTCCTCCTCCTCCTCCACCTCCTCTCCTCCTCCTCCTCCTCCTTCCTCCTCCTCCTCCTCCTCCTCCTCCTCCTCCTCCTCCTTCCTACTCCTTCCTTCTCCTCCTCCCCCCCCTCCTCTCCCAGGCCTCATGTTTCTGGGGGGTGGGGGGGCACTTCGGGGGCCACGATCTGCGGGGGGGCTATAGTCGGAGGCGCCCTCGATGCTCCTCAAGGGAGGAAAAAACACCCGGGGCCCGACAGCTGGCGCTTGCGGAGCGGCGCTGGGCGTCTCCTCTGACAGCCCCGCCTGGTTCGAGCCCTTGTCTGGGTGCGTTTGCTGCACGGCGCCGCGTGTCGGGGTGACTGTCTGAGGACGGCGGCTTTCCTGCTTCCTAGTTTTGAGTCGGGCCTGTCCCTCTACAGGAGGACTCGTCCAACAACTAGTCCGGGGACGATCATATGTTTTGACCATGTTTGATCATTTTTTCCCATTTTCGCCCAAGCCCTCTGTAGGGGGACACGCCCGACCTAACTCTTGCTGGGGGCCCTCGGAGCCCGGGGCGTCCAAAAAGGAGGGGGGTGATGACCAGGGGGGGGGGGACATCATGGCCTGGGCCATGACATTGCCTTCGATTGCATGGCGCCTCCTCTTGTTTCAAGACTTCCCTGGCCCCCCCCCCATGGGGCGCGCACATGCCGCCGGCCATGATTTGCACCCCCCACCCTTGGACGCCCCCCTCGTGGCCGCTCCCAAGTTTCGCCGAGCGCGTTCCGCCAACGTCCGAACAAACTGTACGTCTGCCTTGGTGCGACTTATCGTAAGTCCCCCGCGACGGAAACGCGCCATATGCGAGGGTAGATACTTTGCGAGGAGTGGCACGCGCTCGTCTAGAGCTATGGCCCGAAAGACAGGGCGCAACGTTACGGGGGATGGGCTCAGGGGGAGACGCATCGACCCCCAGTCGCTCACCCATCTCGAAGAGGAGGAAGAAACGTACACCTAAACTTTTGGGCGCTCCGCGCGGATGTCTTGGATCCGCGCTGGGCCGCCCCTAGCGCGCTCCTCGCGCCAGGGAGGGGGGTCCGGCGCAGATCCAAGAAATCCGCGCGGGGCGCCAAGAGTTTGTGTTTATGGCGTCCTTTCTTCTTCTATCATCGCCGATAGGGGTCTGATAGCCCCACCTCGCCCAGGAGCGCGGTGAGTCGCGATCGGAGGACAGTCGCCGAGCAATCTCGGCGATGCATCGCCGATTCCAGGTGGATGTTTCCCCCCTATGGCCAGTCCCCTCCCTTACCGTTGCCCCTCAGCACTGGGAGGAAGGAGGGAGTGATCAGGAGGAGGAGCACCATCGAACAGCAACAAGGCTGCAGAAACCTGGCGTTTTCCCCGAGGTTCGTGCGGATTTCTTGGGTCGTCGCCGCCACTGCCGCCGCGCGCCAGGGAGGGTTGGTCCGGCACTGGTCCAAGAACTCCGCGCGGACCTCCGAGGCAGTATGTTTATGCAGTCGAGTGGTCCTCTATGCCAGCCTGGTCGGTATCCCTATCCATCCCGCCACTGTGCATGGTCTTTGGGCTTTCGTCAGAAGCCGGGCGAAGGCTGGCAAACCCGTGGCTGTTAAAACGGAGCTCCAGGATATTGTTTGTTCTTCCGGGAAGCAGCCTGTGTACTACTTAGTGCGCTGAGTTGGATTCCGGGAATTTGCTATGTTCTTCTGGGACGACTGTTTTAGTAGCCGCGGATTCGCCAGCCCTCGCCCAGTTTCCGATTTCGGCCTGGTGCCTCTTGGATGTCTGTGGGGATCCCTTGGGAAACCTCTCCATGAAGCCCTTGGGGGCGGTTCTGGGGTTCCTTGGACGCTGCACGGAGGCCTCCGGGGGGCCTTTTTGGGGCCCGACTGGGCCTCCTGGGGTCTCCTGGGGCTTCTGGGATGCCTTTTGGGGGGCTGCTGCATGTCTCGAGGGACATCGTGTGGCGGAGAGCTTCAAATGTCGGGTCGCGGGGACCCCCGGGATTCCCTTTGAGGCGTCTGGGGGCCCTATAGGGGACCTCTTGGGCCGTCTTGGAGCGTTGGACACCCGAAAATGCGAGAACTTCACATTGCTTCAAAACCAAACGGATACTCAATTACTTTTGCCTCTCGAGGCCCACTCCAGGGTACTTTCGGAGCCCTCTTAAGAAGCATTTGGGGCTGTCTTGAGGCAATCCTGGGCACCTCGGAGCGCTCTGGTGCCGCCTCGGGACTACCTGAGACCGTCTTCGAGGCCTCTTGGGGCCCCCATGGCCCGTTTGGGCTTCTAGCCTCCGGAGAAGTCATGCGACAACACACGGGGGCACGCGACGAATCAGACGGAACACCCACGGGACCTAGTCATTTTCCATTTCGTACTTCGGGCATGGTTGCGGATGTGGGGGGAGGACGAGGAGGAGGAGGAAGAGGAGGAGGAGGAGGAGGTGGCGGAGGAGGCGGAGGTCGGGGGCGGGGAAAAACACGGAGGGAGGGGAGGGGAGCGAGGAAGAAGGGGAGCAGGAGGCTCTGGTTGGAGCGTGGGGGCGATCGAGGGGGCACATTCATTGAATGGAGAGTGGGGGAGTGGGGAGGGAGGGGAGGAGGACGACGAGGAGACGGAGGAGGAGGAGGGAGGGGGGCACCGGAGGGCAGAGGAGGGGCAGATGAATGGAGAGTGGGGGAGTGGGGAGGGAGGGGAGGAGGACGACGAGGAGACGGAGGAGGAGGAGGGAGGGGGGCACCGGAGGGCAGAGGAGGGGCAGATCGCCACGACGGGGCGCCGCCCGCGCATTCCTTCGCCCGCGCTGCCCACCTCCCTCCTCCTCTGCCGCCCCTTGCTCTCGCTCGGCGCCGCTCTCTGGGGTCTCGGCGCCTCTCGCGGTGGAGGAGGAGGCGGAGGAGGAGAAGCGGGAGGAGAAGCGGGAGGAGGAGGAGGAGGAGGAGAAGGAGGAGGAGGAGGAGAAGGAGGAGGAGGAGGTGGAGGAGGAGCAGGAGGAGGAGGAGGAGGAGGAGGAGGAGGAGGAGAAGGAGGAGGGGGGGCGACACTCGCCGCTCGATCGCCAGGCACCGCTCGCCTCCTGCCAGAAGCTCGGCGCCATCGCCGTTGGGGGCGGGTGGCTGGTGGCGGCCTCGGCCGCCGGCTGCTTGCACGTGCTGCGCCTGCCCTCCCTGGCCGCGCACGCCCGCGTGCCCCTCGGCGCCTCGCAGCCCGCGCAGTCCCTGGCGCTGCAGGGCGGCTTGGCCCTGGCGGCGAGCCGGCGCGCGCTGTTCGTGGTGGACCTCGAGCGCGGCGCGTTGCTCCGCGAGCTCGCCACGCCCTTCCTCGGTGGTTCCACGACGGGGTCCTGAGGGCTGGAGGGGCCCGAGGACAGAGTGGGATCCAGGGGTGGATTCTTACGTATTGCTTGGGGCACCTTGTCCTCGGGGCCCCATCCGTCGGATCCCCGTCTTTGCACCACCGACCTTCGGCGCCCGGCCCACGGTCGCCGTCGGCGGCCCCGCCGTCTTCCTGCAATGCGACGAGGTGGTCCGCATGTGGCCCGCCGGGCTCGCAGGCCGCGCTGCGGCGGCCGGCGCGGCCGCGTGGCGCGAGCTCCGCGCGCCCCACCGGCAGATCTTGGTCGGGATGAGCCTCTGCGCGCGCGGCGACGTCGTGGCGACGGCTTCTCCCGAGGAGGTCAAGGGCTGGCACTGGCCCCCGGCCCAGGAGCGCCCCGTGCTCCTGTGGACCCTCGCGGTGCAGGAGGCTTCCGGGTGGGGGGGCGCCACCGAGGTGTTCTCCATGGTCTGCTGGCAGCCGGCGGGCTGCCCAGGGAGGCTCCTCCTCCTGGCCAGCCAGGAGGGGAAGCTCGCAGTGCTCGACGTCAGGGTCGGCAAGGAAGGGACAGACGCCCCCTGGCGCGCCCGGCGGCTGGCGACGGACCTCCCGGCCCGAAGCGTCTCGGCGAACGCGATTACTCCGGATGGCGAGCTAGTGCTCTGGGAGAAGGAGTCGGGCTGGGCGGTGTGGGGAGGTGCGGCCGATGCTGCTCTTGTGCGTGTGCCCCGCCCCGAGGGCTCGCGGGAGCACCCGTGCAGCATCGCCGTCCTGGACCTCGTCGCCGCGGGGCCCGCGCCGCTCGAGGCGCACCGGCCTCCTCTCCTTGGGTGAGGCGAGGAGCTCCGCCTCACCCGGGGCGGCCCCGCCTCGGGGGCGTGCCCTTCCCGAGGGGGCGCGCGCGCCCCAGGTCGCGTGCGCTTCCTGTCGGCAGTCGCGCGCCAGCGCGGCCCGACAGCTCGGTCGCGCCTGGGCGTGCGGGAGGCCGTCGGCGTCGTCGCCGCCGCCGCCGTCGCCGCACGGGCGCGGCGGCCCGTGCCGGTGCGCGGACGCCCACTGTGCTGAGGCGCCCTGTGCCGGTCGCGGAGCGGACGTCGGAGGCGGGCGCGGTGGGGGAGGAGTCCCCTCAGAGCGTCGGCGCCGCCGGGGGCCATGGCACGGCGAGGGGTACGAGGTAGCGGTCCAGTGCAAGCGATGGCCGTCGCGCGGTGGGGCCCACGATGCTGACCGTTCCCGAGCGCATGCCGGAGGCCACGGAGTCGCAGGCTCGCCGCGCCACGAGGCCAGTTTCAACCCGACCAGTCGCTGTCACGGCCAGCGGATCCAGCGTGGAGGTGGTGCTGCTGCGGGCGGCCACGGCGATCGGCTGCACGACCGAGGGTTGGCTCAGCGTCTGCTCGCGTTCGCCACCGATGCGACCTCTGCCAAGTCTGATGCAGCGGCCCACTTGCTGGGGCCGAAGTGGCCGGTAATCATCTCGAGGGGTACGAACCTGGAGGGGACCTTGGAAGTTTTGAACCTATGCGATCACCCTTGGAGTGATAAGGAGGCTCGGGGGGAGGAAGCAACGTCTCACTCCGTCGATATCACTATCGATCACACGATCGATCTCACTATCAATATCACTATTGATTTCGCTATCGATACTACCATCGATATGACTATCGATCTCGCTATAAACATTATTACCGGTCTCAGCATCGATCTCTTATCAATCTCACTATCGATCTCGCTATCGATCTCGCGATGGGTCGCACTATCGATCTCGCTATCGATCTCAATATCGATTTCACTACTAGACACCGACGGGAGAAAAACGGGACAGCGACGGGACACCGCAGGGACACCGAAGGGACCGACGGGACAGAACGGGACAGGGACGGGACAGGGACGGGACACCGATGGGACACCCCGGTGGGACAACCCGGCCACCGCCCGCCCACCACGCGAGATTCGCACAATTGTCTTGCCCCGCCCTAGCAACAGCGGAGTCATTTCCCTCGCCCGCCCACGCAGCTTCGCCTCGCCCGCACGCACGACACAAACCCGAAACCGAAACCGATTTCCAGGTGGGGGGCTCTCCGTCCCACCTCGACCTCACCCCACAACCTCCGATTCCCTATCTGCAGCGCCCCCTAGTCTCGCCAAACAGTGGGGTCCCCAGGGTGGTGCTGAACGTGTAACCCTCACTCAACAGCGCAAGTTGCCCTATAATCCCCTCCCCTCCATCTGTTTGCCAAAGCCGAGCTGTTCTCTGGAGCCCCCACCTATTCGGGCCTTGTGAGTTGCATCACTTTGTGTTGTCGACGGTTCTCGATTTGTCGGTGGGTACCACTGTCGTTTCTAAATGTCTAAGGGTTGATGCCCCCCCACACGCGAGAACTTCTGCGAGTTTCTGAGAGGCTTCTCCTGGTTTGTACTCACTTGTGAATCTAGCCAGGGGAGGTGCGTCCTGCTGCCGTACGCCCTGGCAACGCCGCCGCCTCGGCTGTGTGAGTTGCGACCTCGTCCTGGACATCATGGCCCCGCTCCGATGTCTGGAAGGCCCGCGACTTCGCGACTTGGGGAGCCCGACTTGCCAGAGGGCCGCCACTCCTGCGGGCAGTCGGCAGCAGCCGCGCGGCCAAATCCTGAACACGGTGCCCATGCCCGTACGCGCACGCTCTGCCCGGCCTCGACGCTACAACGCTGGCTCCTCTTGGTCGCGCTGGCCCCCCGTGCTCGGGCGCTTCCGCGCCACTGCCGCGCCGCCCGGGCGTCCCCGGGCGGGCCGCAGCCCGCGCCTCGACCCAAGGCCTCCTCGGGCGGCCGCGCGGGGCGCGGCCCGCTGCGCCTGGGCGCTCGAGGAGCAGTTCGCTGCTCTCCCCGGTGCCGGTCTCTTCCTGTAGGTTATGTAGGAGGCCTCCATGCCGCCATGCCGCTCTTCGTGGCGCTGCTCTCCCCATGCTCGAAGGCCCAGAGGCTGGCACAGCACCAATAGGGGCAGTGTGTCTCCACCGAGGGGAGACGATCCCGATCGCGGCGATCGTGGTCACATTCGGGCCTCATAGGTGGCCGAAAGATAGCCACTGACATCAAAATCCAGGATCATCTCCTCCCGGTGGAGGCAGACCCCTGGTTGATGTTGGTGCCAATTTCCTTCAGCATGCCGGTCTTAGTGGCGCCGCTCTCCCCATGCTGGTCTTCATGGCGTTGCGGTTCCCACGCCGAAGGTGGAGGTCTTGTCGGGCGTTCCGCGCTCTACGCAGACGGCTGCATTGCTGCCACGCTCGATCGGGCGGAGGTTTGGCGGAGTTTGTCGAGGTGCTGCGGCTTGTTTGGGGGCACCACAACAATTAGGAGAGCGCGTGGAAGAGGCTGGTTGATGTTGGCCCAATCGCTAGATCGGGCTCGTTCCGCTGCTGGTTCACAACGGTTGCACACTTAGCCCGTGCCACCCACGAGCACAGCGTGTTCTTGTCCAGCCCCCTTTATGAGATCGTGTGCCCGGTTCATGCTGTCGTACTGCCAGCAGGAGTTCTTTACGTGCACGTTGGGCCAAAAGATCGTACACCTAAGTTGATGTACGCTGAAATCATACGTTCACGCAGTCCCATGAGGTGTACGTGATTTCGGCGAGAAGTGAAATCGCCCCATTCTCGGATCAGCACGTTTCCGACGCAGTTCTCGTCCTCGAGTATTGTATGGGTTGTTGCCAGCCTTCGGCATCATCAGTGGCTTCCTCGCAGGACGTCTTCCCAGACCAGGGTATCTCCCTCACGTGTGATCTTCTTGCAGCGGCTTTACGGGATCGTGTAGACCGCGTACCATGGCAAGTGGTTGTTGCTCTTAGTGGATGAGGTATACACTGGAAGGTTTGCTCGGATTGCAAGGTTTCATCATCGCCGCAGCGTTCGACAACAGTGCAGATTGGCCGCCGGACACGTGTCGTTGCGCTGGCTTATGAGGCTCTTCTCTACAACAGTAGAGTTCTAGATCCCCGCGAGGCAATAGCCTCAAGCACGTCCGCCGAATCGGCGACTACGTCGGTGTCAGCTAGTCTCCTCCCTGGACGAGCGTTTGCGAGGACTACTTCTTTGGCCAGATTTGTCATGGCGTGCCAGTTCAAAGCGAGCGTGCAGGTGTTGGTGTCTCGATCAAGTAGAATGTCCCCCCTAAATGCGTATCGATCGCGTTATTCCTCTCAGAAGGCGGATTTGGCGAGCCGCCTGAACCTACGCCATACTCCGCGTGTGCACCCATGCGGTGTTGGAAGACACCGCGAAGGTTCCACCATGCACACCGTGCCCGTCGCCTCCCGCGGCGTCTTGCAGTCCGACTGCTGCGATAGCCAACCTGGCAGTTCCCAGAGCAAGTTCTGGGCGACCATTGGGAAAAGGCATATCTGAAGGGCTCCGCCCTCTGCCGCAGGCCCCCCCCCCACCCACTGTGACTCCAGCAGCGGCGATGCGTCCGGGCTTGCCTGTAGGCCCACCGAAGAATGTTCTGAGAACCTGTCACGGTTTGCATTGAATGTTCTTAGGACATGTCTGGTTGAGACCGTTTTGGTTTAATGCATCGGCTTTATGTTCTAAGAGCACTACCTTTTTCCTTATGACTTCTTTCAAACATGGCATTCCGCGGTTGGCCTATAAGAATGCCGGGACGGTCGGTCCCTGCTCAAATATTTGTTTGCATGGGTAGGCTTCTTCGGTTGGTTTGTTCATTTGCTTGTCGGTCGGCTGGCTGGCACCGTGGATGATTGGCCTGTTGTTTCTCGCCGGCGATCGAGGGGGGGACATGAGAAGAGGCGGGATTTCTCATAAGGCTCCGCAGTCCCCCAGCCTCCTGAGAAGTATTCTCAGCCTTCCCCGAAGACAGAACACCCTCCAGAAGGCCTGAGGCCTTCTGAGAAGTCCCGCCGCCTTCCGAGAAGGCCTGCTCCTTCTCACTTCCCCCCCTCGGTCGCCGCCGAGTCTCAACAGATGTTTGGCAGTTCGATTTGCCTGGTTGCTGGCTGGCTGTCTGTGCACATGTGCAGTACTTCTGTAATCCGGATCGGTGGCCTTGGGAGCGCGCTTCCAATGTTCAGGAGCGGCGGAAGGTGGTTGCGACATCGGGAGCGCGCTTGCTGCGCTGTGTCCGGGGATTTGGGGGTCGGTCGGGCTCGGGGCCAGCGCTGTCAAGATCTGACGGGGGGGGGCGAAAGGCGCTCCCCCCCCCCACCACCCTGGGTCGCAGCGCGTTCGTGCAGGAGCCCGCGCGCGCCTGCCATTTACCCTCGGTTGCGGCCTCGGGGGCACGAGTTTGTCTTCGTGTGAGCCACCGTGGACCCAAGCAGAGTTTCTAGCAATCGATGCTCTCCAGTCGATCTACGTGGTGCAGTTGACGCGGTGCAACTGGTCCTAATAAACGAGTTGGCAAACCCCATGCTCTTGCAAACATCCCACCCACCCACCCACAACTTGGTTTGCAAAGCCCATGCGGCGGCGATTGCGATGCGTGCTTGGCGTTGGCTGGTGCTTCTCTGCTGCCGTGCTAGCCCGCGCACGCTCGCGCGCACAGCGGCCATACAGTTTGGCGCGACCGACAAGGCCGCGGTGGCGCTGGCCGCTGGGCACGTCCCAGCGAGCAGTTCAGTGCGAGTCGGTGGCTTGGGCGGACGCGGTATCATGGCGACGCCGGCAACGCTAGACACGGTCATGGGCGTAGCGATGGTGACGAAGGTGGCGATGACGACGGTAAGGGCAATGACGGCGCCGATGTTAACCACGCCCGCCGATATTGGTTTAAAAGCGTTGACGAACTGATATGAGACTTCTCCAGCGGAGAGCGATTTGGGAAAGACGGGGGCGGCGTCTATCAGGAGGGACAAACACACGGACATAATTCACCGTCGATTCCCAGAAAACGATGGGAAGATCTGGGAAGTGAGGGGGAAGACGACGACCCAGGACACGTGGGAACATGGAGGGCATCCAGGGATTTGTGTGCGTATGTCTGTGTCTGCCCCTGGTCCCCATTCAGTCTGTCTGTCCCTCCCCCCGTCGAGGCCCTCAAGGCCGCTCCCATGGCTCTCCTAGGGGCGCTCTGGGGGCCGCTCTTGGGGCCGCTCTTGGGGTCATTTCCGGGCCCTCTCTTGGGCCCCTCTTTGGGAGCTCCCTCGAGCCATCTCGGAGCCACGTCGAGGCCCCCCAGAAGCTGACCAGAAGAGGCATGGCGAGATTGCGGGAAATGTCGATTTGAATCAGGCGCTGGGAAGAGTCAGGCATCCTGGGGGACTCCTTGGGAAGCTCCGTGGCCACCTGGAACCTTTTCTGCAGCGACCTTGGCTTTGTAGGCATCTTGGAGGCGATCTTTAACCATTGCGGGCTCTCTCTCGAGCGATCTTAGAGGCCATCTTGGGCCATCTTCGACGCTTCAACCCCTCGCGAAACGCCCCCTCAAGAAAAAAGGAGGGTGGGTAAGGGACCCCCCCCGTCGAAGGGAAAGAAGAGGGTTATCAGAACGAGCTCCTTACACCATTCACGCCAGGAGGGCTGGTAGGACTTCTAAGGTATTGCCCCTTCAGGAACACGAGCTCCTCGTGATTTGCAACGGAGTTTTCCCTCGGAATCGTGAATATGTTGCAATTTGCGGCGGAGGGTTGTGGTTGTGGTTTCGGGAGCACGGGCTCGTTGTAAGTTACAGCGGCGTGTTTGGCCTCGGGAGCACGGGCGCGGTGCAATTCACAAGGACTCTGGCCTCGGGAGCGCGAGTGTGTTGCAAATTGCTCGCCATCGTGGCCTCGGGAGCGCGAATCTGTAGGTAGTATGTCACGTGTTGTCTATCGGAGGGTACCCCCACTCAAGGCTGATAACAGTTTTTAGGAGAATGGGATGCATTCTGGCCTGGGGTCGTCTCGCGTTGCGCGTCTTTTAAACATTACAACCGCGGATGCAGAAGCCAGCCAGGGAGCATGCATGCTCCCGCCTCGCGGCCTGCTGGCACCCGGGGGTGCCGGCGGATTTGGTGCCCGTGCCGGAGGTCCTCCATTTGCTCGCTGCCCCAGCGGCGGCCTCCATCGGGCCGCTCCGCACGCCACGGTATGTCTGGCAGGCCGCGGCACGCCGCACTTCCACTGGTGCTGCTGGAGGTGGCCCTGCCCCGTGGCCTTCCTGGCTCCCAGACCCCCTCGAGTAATGACAAAAATCATGACCTGAGGTTTTTCGCCATTTTCGGCCTCTGGGGGACTTCGCCGGGCCTCGGGACCGTCACAAAACGATTCAGGATGGAAAACTGGTCCCGGGGAAGGGGTCCAGATTTCTGGGGGTCGACGTCTTGAAAAAATCATGGCGTCGGGGGTCTGGGCTTTTTTCCCTGGGGAGGCCCAGCAAACCCCAAGGGTGTCCAGCACGGCGCGGAAAGCCGAGCAGCTGGGGCCGGGATCGCCTCTGGCAGCCCCCGAGTGTTGGGAACTCAGCATCGTCAGACCTGCCCCCATCCCCAGTGGGCCAGGAGCTTCCTCGGCGCCGCCAGCCTAACCCCCCGAGGTGGGGGCGGGCGCCGCCAAGTCCGACGTGGCCTCCACCTGGGCAGCGGGGCCAAGGCTCTCCCAGTGGGGACGGGCGTAGGCCTGACAATGCTGAACCCTCCGAGTCGGAGTAGGAAAAAGGTACCCACACCGCCGCCCTTGCCTCGTTCTCCCTCTCCTCGGCCTCCTCGGCGGCCCTCGCGTCGTCACCGCTGGCTGCGCCCCGAACTCCTGGCCAGAGCGCGACCCGGGTGAGGTCCGGGGAGTGGCGGTCTCGGTACCCTGACCTTCCAGAGAGCTATTTTATAGCATTGGAGACCTAAAAACCTAAACAACTAAACGCAACAGCCTAAAAGCAAGACGTAGAATAGCTCTGGGATAGGTTTTTAAGTCGCGTGCTATTTTTCAGCCCTCCTGGAAGGTCAGGGTACTCTTGCTTTCCCCACCGAGGCCCCCCTCCATGGCCGCCTGCCCACGCCTGTCCACGGAGCGAGACACGCGAGGGGACCGCCGCGCGCAAGGGGGTCGGCACGGGGCTCGGCCAGGCCGCCCATGGAGCAGCGGGCCGCGCGCCGAGGACCCGGGAGATGAGCGCCGAGGACCGAGCGCCGAGGCGTCGATGAGCGAGGAGGGGGGCCCTCCTCGGTGGAGAGCAGGGGGCGGCGCGGAGCCCCCCCGGCGCCCCGGCGCGGAGGGCCCCGCGGCCGGTGGCACCCCGCAGCGGCCGCGGCAGGTCGCGCGGCGGCCCCCGAGCCCGAGCTCGCGCGGCCAGGGGCCCCCGAGCCCGGCCCCGGCTCCGGCCCCCCACAGCTCCCTCGAGCCCGAGCCCGCGAGCGCGAGCGGGCGCGGCCCCGAGCTCGGGCCCCGGCGCGCTGCTGCACTGCTGGCCTTGCCCTCCCAGGGTGGCCGCGGGTGGCGCGGCGCCGCGCGGGCCTCGCCGGCGCCGCCGCGGCCATGGAGCGCCGCGCCGCGCCCGCGGCGGGCCCGCGCGCGGCAGGGGCGCCGCGGGCCGCTGCGTCGCCGCGGCGCGGCGCGGCGCGGCGAGCGCCTGGCGGGCCGCGCGCCCGCGCTGGGCCCGCCCCCTCATCAAGCGGTGTCGAAGCGCCCTGGCGTGCAAATAGGCCCGCCAAACAATGTCTTGGCATCGCTCGGACGTGTGCAGTTTTCCTTCGGCGAGGACCATCGAGGAGCATCCTTGATCATTTGGCGAAAAAGCCACGCACCAAACCGAAAAGCACACAGGGAATGGACGTCCGAGCGATGGCCAGATGTTCTAAGAACTCGTGGTGGTTGCTACGAAATGTTCTCGGATCATTCCTGGCTGGTCCTGGCTTGTTGCAGCGCAGCGGGCTCGCGTTCTCAGAGCCGTGTTGTGTGGTTGCTCTTAGAGAACTGTCGGGGGCGGCATAGAGGGGGTGATGACAAGAGGGGGGATATCATAGCGGGGGCCATGATATCTCCCCAGATTCCATGGCGCCTCTTCTTGTTTCAATGCGTCCCCAGGCCTCCCCCCCCCGGGCCGCGCAAGTGCCGACGGCCATGATTTGCGCACCCCCCTCTGGGACGCCCCCCTCTTGGCCGCCCCCGAAACTTGCTGGGGCTCTACCCTGACCTTCCAGGAGGGCTAAAAAATAGCACGCGACTTACAAACCTATCCCAGAGCTTTTCTACGTCTTGCTTTTAGGCTGTTTCGTTTAATGTTTTAGGTTTTTAGGTCTCCAGTGCTGAAAAATAGCTCTCTAGAAGGTCAGGGTAAGAACATGTCGTGGCAGGCCTACAGGAACGCCTGGACGATCGGTCTCTGCTCGGCTCCCGGGCGCACCTGTCGGGCACGGCCGGCCGGGGGCGGGCGCCACGCGCCGGGCGAGCGCCGCGGGGTTTCGAGCGAGGCCCGCGCGCAGCGCTCGTCGGCGGAAATAACTAGCCAGGGCGGGAGGGGGGCTGCTGGCCGCTGCTCGGCCACGCGCAGATCCGGGGCAAGGATAGGGGGGGGGGATACCGTGACCTTCCAGGAGGGCTAAAAAACAGCACGCGACTTAAAAACCTATCCCAGAGCTATGCTACGTCTTGGTTTTAGGCTGTTTCGTTTTGTGTTTTAGGTTTTTAGGTCTCCAGTGCTGAAAAAATAGTTCTCTGGAAGGTCAGGGAGGGCGGGGGGGGCTGTTGGCCGCTGTTCGGCCACGCCCAGATCCGGGGCAACGATAGGGGGGGATAGGCACAGGGGGGCGATGCATCGACCCCCAGTCGCCCCTTGATCGCCGATATGGGGGCCCGAGAGCCCCCACCTGCCTGGGAAGGCGTGCGGACTCGCTCTCTGGAGGCCCATCGCCGATCTGTCGGCCACGTGTCGCCGATCCCAGGTCGATGCATCCCCCCCTATGCCAGTCCCCCCCCTATCGTTGCCCCCCAGCAGAGGGGGTATAGGAGGCGGGGGGCCGGGCGTCTTCAAGGCACCCCCTGCTGCTCAGGAGGTGCGGGCCCTGTCTATGGAGGCAGGGCCGGCGCCTTCTAGGCCGCGGCCCCCTTCTAAGAAGTCTCCTTCCCCCCTCCCCCTACCCTTCAGTCGTGCATGCCCCTCTACAGGGGGAATATTCCAAAAGAGTCAGAAGATACTGGGGACGATTTCCCTGCTGTTTTCGGACTATGTTTTGATTGTTCTGAGTACGTTGCATGTTTCGTCCGAAGTCCGCCTGTACAGTCGGGGCAATTGTTTCGCAGTTTCCCTTAGGTTTTCCTTAGGACTTCGATATGAAATCGAAATTTTACTTATGGAAAATAGGGGCCTCGTTCCTTATTTAGGGTTCCTTATGTCAACGCCCCGACTGTAGGAGGACATGCCCGACCTGACCCTACCCCCCTTGCGCGCGGCTCCAAGTTTTGGGGCGACGAGATCTGTACATGTCCACCGCCGCTGGCCAGGCCCATCTCAGGAGGGAAAACAAAAACACACAGACACAATTCATCGTCGACTCCCAGGAAAATATGGGAAAATATGGGAATTGGGCGGGAATACAAAAACCCAGAAAATATAGAAAAATATGGGGAATCCTTTCATTTGTGTGTACTTATTTGTGTGTCCTGGGGCCCCTTGCCCACCCTGGCCGCGGGAGCGGCGTCTGCGCCTCCCCGGCCAAGCCATGGGGGCGTCTACACCGCTCATCTGGGCCGAGGGCGGGCTTCTCTCTCCCGCGGCGGCGGCGGCGGTGTGCAGGAGCTCGTGGCCCCACGCGCTGGGCATCGGGGGGCCGTCACTCCTCCTCCTCCTCCTCCCTCCTCCTCCTCCTCCTCCTCCTCCTCCTCCTCCTCCTCCTCCTCCTCCTCCTCCTCCTCCTCCTCCCTCCTCTCTCATCGCCTTCCTCATCCTCCTCCTCCTCCTCCTCCTCTCCTCCTCCTCCTCCCTCCTCATCCTCCCTCCTCCCCCTCCTCCTCCATCCTCCTCCGCGGCCCCAGGACCGCCAGCAGAGCGACTCTGGGTGAATCAATCAGGGCATCGCCTGTCTGGGGAGGTGAGCGCCTGCCGCAGATTCGATGTCTGTTCATGGGAGCCTTGGGCGGCGACGTTGAATTCAGCTTTTCCTGTATGTGGACAGCGCGGGGGCCACATTTGGCCCATCCTCCTGCTCCTCCTCTCCCCTCCTGTTCCCCCTCCCCCTCCTCGTTCTCCTAGCTCCCACGAATCCAGTCCAAGTCTGGTCCAAATCGGGTCCAAATGTGTTCCAAATCCGGTCCAAATCAAACCCAAATTGGACAGTGCCGGAGGCCACGCAGGCTCCCATGGAACGGACACCGAACGCAGATCATAGAGGTGACCCCCCTCCTTCACCCCCCTCACGGTCTGATTATCCACAGGGTGTATGTGGGTCCCAAGTGCCACAAGCGGCGCGGGGGGCGAACTCTGGACGAATTCGATGCTCACCCCCAAAGTTCGCATCGTCGCTCTGATCCTCATATCATGCATATCACCATGAATGATCTGTATGATTCATTTCGTGCGGTCGTATCGGACGAAACGCAATTGCTCGAAGATTCGCTGAGTTCGCGACCAGCAGCTTTTCGAGGATGTCTCGAGCACATCGCTCGGTTCTGTAGCAAAAGCATTCCGGCGAGGATGCTTCAAGCGAGCCGCTCCATGTTTCGAGCTTCCCAGGCAACCCAACACCTACAGTTCCGGGACAACGTACGATCGTCGGATGGCCCCACACGTTACCATCCCCAGAGTGCTGGGTTGGCGACCGCTTGCGAGCCATGCCCTGTTGCCGCGTCGGACAAGGGCGGGAGGGGGTTGTCCTCTGGGCCTTCCAGATGCGGTCAGAGCAGATGGGGCCGGAGGAGAGCGACGCACCGCCGACGCACCGGCGATGCGGCTCGATGTGCAGCTCGATTTTCTCCACGCCGACGTCGCCGATGCACCGCCCACGCTGCCGAGGCATCGGCGATGCATCGGCGATGCGGCGCGATCCTCCATCCCCAATTGCTCGAGCCCCATTTGCCTTCTTAGAAGCCCCCGGACGCTGACAGGAATGCCCTTGTTTTCCAAGAAGTTCCTGGGCCTTCCTGGACGCCCACCACCCTTCCGCCACCACCCTTGCGGGTTGGAAAAGGCGGGTGCCCCGCTCGCGCAGGCCTCTCTCGCTTGCCCTTTCGTCCAGGGCAGGTAGGCTGACGGCGCACGCCTGCTTCTCCTCTCGCAGGCGAGTTCTCTCCCACAATCCCCGAGTTCCGCCAGAAAAGTTTGGCCGCTCAGAAACGGGGGGGGGGAATCTTGGGCTGCAGCCCGAGGGGGCTATTCGGACGCACCCCCATCGAGGATGGACGCCCCCCCCCTCGTAGATCCCAGGGTTGGGTCCCAAATTGTTGATCTTCTCGAAAACCTCACGAAGCCTGGGATAGGGGGTTCTCCTCCTTTCTGGGGTTGGGGGAGGAGGGGGGGGGAAGGAGGAGGAGGAGGAGGAGGAGGAGGAGGAGGAGGAGGAGGAGGAGGGAGGAGGGAGGAGGGAGGAGGGAGGAGGGAGGAGGGGGTTTTGGGGGGGGGGCTGCTCCTGGCGGCGGCGGCGGCGGAGGCCTCGTCGCCACGGGTGCGCTCGCTTCCGGATCTCCTCGGGGACGCCTTCTCCTCCTCCTCCTCCTCCTCCCGTCCTCCTCCTCCTCCTCCTCCTCCTCCCTCCCTCCTCCTCCTCCTCCTCCTCCTCCTCCTCCTCCTCCTCCTCCTCCCCCTGCTCCTCTGGCCGTGGACGGCCCGAACGTGTGGGAGGGCGGTGGCCCCTCTTCAGCTGCAGCGCAGGGGTGCCGAAGGCGAGACTGCTGGGGCAGGCGAACTGGAAATTGCTGCATGCAGCTGGTTTTAAGTCGGGCACGTCCCTCTACAGCAGGAATATTCAGAAATAGTCAAAATATAGTCTGGGGACGATTTTTCTGGCATGTTTTTGACCATTTGGGGGCATTGTTTTGAGTATTTTTGTTTTTCGTTGAATATCCCCCTGTAGGGGGGCACGCCCGACTTAAAGCTGGTTTCGGCCCCGCCGCCAGGTTTTCTCCAGTATTTTTGTTGCTGTCTGCACGCAAAAGGCACCAGAAAACGCAGCATGCAGCTGATTCGTTTAAGCCCCCTCCCTGCTATGCACCCCTTTCGTCCGAGCTGGCCCTACTGGTCGGCTCGTCGGGGTGTCGGGCACTCTCGATAGGGGCTCCCTTGGCTTCCGCGGTCTTTCAGACACTCTTAGCTCCCGCCCACCTGCTTTCCCCGACGCTCATTTTGAATTCTAGACGCTTCGCGTATCCCCACCAGCCCGTCCAGAAACGACGCCCAGGCGAGTAGAGGGTCGTCCTGAGGGGCTTTTCGGCGTCTCGGGTGCTTCGGGGGGGCCTCTGTGGGCCGTTCGGGATCCTC